TTGCCAAGATCCTGCCATCAAAGAGGGCACAGGGTTGTTTCGTTCGCTCACCTAGACTTTGTTGTGTTAACTACGCTGAATAAACCAACCAATTGAATGGCCGAGCGAATGACCAGGCAGTAGTGCGCTGGTACACTGTATCGGGAGCCTCTTTAAACGTGGGACGCAAACGATGGCGTGAGAAACAAACTAAACTGAAGGCTGATGTGCTGACACCACACTGTTACCTAAGTTGCATTATGCCTGCAAAAAGTGACCATGGAATATTAGCGACACTTAGGGGTAAAGGAGTTTAACAATTGGGGTTTGAGCAATGTCCTTCACCTCTGTTCAAACATATATATATATATATATATATATATGCGATTGGATATAGCTAGGTGAAAACGTCGGCCCCGACTGCCCGATGGTGTTCCGTGCCGCAGGCCTATGGGCATAACTAAAGCGGCGCTTGTTCAAAACCTCCTGAATTTGGTGGTATCCTTGAGGTTAGCTAAAAAATTATCGGATACTTTTACGTCCGATCGTGTGAGTGAATGGTTCCGCAGCCTGTCTGCAGACCAAGCCATCGGAAGCCGCCAAAGCTTTGTCAGTGACTTTCATACACGCGCAGCGCCGAATTGATGCATTCGAATAACCGATTAGTTCTCACGTAGGAGGCAACAGGAGTAAATCAAGAAACCCATTCAGTAAGATCACAATAAACATTCGGTCAAATACCAGTTCCTTGTTCGAGATATTGGTAACCGGTTCGTTGGCATAACTGGCTGTTACTATGGAGTTAGGGTGTCATACCGAGGGCCGGAATACATCACACAAAAATTGACGTAGTAGCTCAAGTCTCTTTGTTGGGGGGAGTGCGTTGAAATCTGATCATAAAGTGGCAGCTGAAAGCTCACATGACAAATCCACCCGCATTTGCTGCGCAGTGTAGATTCACTCTTGCAGGAATCGATCATTTCTTGATGGATACTGCGTGAAGCTTGTAATGCTTCACTTCTATTCCATGGTAGCGTTTGTTTTTAACGTTCTGGACCGAACTTTACCCTTACAAGTTTTCTTTCATTCTTGTGTCAGCTGCGCAATTTTTCCCATCATATAGACAAGCTTCTGGGTTTATCTTGTCTTGTAATCCAAGCTGCATTTGCGCGCATACCCGAAGACATTGTGGTGAACAAAGCTTGATGCCTCACTATTAGAACTCAGTATTTGGTGAACTTCAGATCAAAACAAATTTACTCACTCCGGACTAGAAGTAATCCACGAATTGTGGTTGTATCAGCAAGCAGACTGACTGCATAAAATGATTGAAATTCCTTACAGCTTAGCAGGGTACAGTAAATCGTAGTCATAATTTAAATTGTCACAAAAATCACCAGCGTACCTTTTTCCCAACTTAATTCTGTCTGGCCACACAGTATGCGGAATAGGTGCTGCTTTGTAAGCTAAACATTCCTTAACTTAGTTGAACTACATTACACCGTTAAGCTGTAGCACCCTTTCGGTGCCTAAATGCCATGCCACCCGAAAATTGCACGAGGGCTGGGATACTGCCAGGATGCCCAAGCCTAGAAGACGGGGGAAGTCGCGAGGCAGAGGTCGGGTTCGAACCATGGACGTTCCGGTTAGTAAATTTGCGCTCTAACTACTTGGGTCATCTCGCCCCAACTAAATAACACCACATATTCCAGAATCTGTTGCGAATCTGAACTGAGATTTTTACCCAAGGGATTCATCAAGTAGCATATTTCAAGAAGTACCAGTTTAATGAGAAAATTACCCTCGGAAAGAAACCCGTCGGAGTGGGAGGGCAGCTGGCTCATGAAAGATGTTTGAATCACAAGTGCAGCGCGTTAGACAAACCAAAGATCCCACCTCTCTCAAAAACTCCAGCTGTTATCGTTTCCACCATCTTGTTGTAATTCGTTTTTCATTCTCATTATGATTTTTCCGCGACCAGAGCGCCATTCTTGGAACAAAAACCCTTTGTCTTGTCAATCACCATGTAGGCATTGTCCTTGTCACTACATTTCAACCAGTTTCTTGTTACTGATGTTTCTACTCAAAGGTTTTTGTTTGGTTAATACTAATTAACTCTAAACCATTTTGACTAGTTGAAATACTCGTATTCGTCAATACGAAGCATATAGAAATTTCGCATATCCCCCTCCCTCAACATTGTCCTAGGAACAATGACAGACGCAGACTAGGATAAATTCGATTGTTTCGCTTTACTTTGCCGGCTACGGCATACATCCGATCATTTTCAATGAGACCTTATCGGTAACCTTGTTATAATGGAGATTTCCTCCAGTCACCGAGATCTTATCATATTGCCTATCAGTCAATAGTTGCCGAACGGCAGCGGTGGTCTGATGGTCACGGCTTTGATGCTGCCTAGAGTTTTGTGAGACGTGCTGTGCTGATGATTCACAATAAGAATGAAACAGCTGTATGGTGCTCCTCGGATTTTCACCATAGACTGGCTTCACTGACAGGACCAGATCTCGAGTGAAAGTTATCAAATGTCATGGCCTTGAAATCGGTTTTATGTGAGCAGCCTATTCCAGTGGGGACGGTCCAACGGTGTTGATTGAAAAGTATGGTAGCTGCTAGTGAGTAGGGATATGAACTCAAGTTGTTGTTCAGTGAGCAGTGGTGAACTAGTTACTGTCAAGCACCGTTAGACACGCTGCAGAATCGTCTGGTCGACTGGTAAGTAAGCCATTTAGAGGTGACAACTTGGATACACTCAAGCAGGCAATCGAACCAGGGAACCGAAATGTCATGGTTTATTGGGCGCGACTATTCAATGAGAGATTCGTAGAAGTGATGACTTTCGATAATTTATTCTTTTGTATCGGTGGCACATACATTGAACATTTGATCTAGCACGTCCACGCGGTGAAATAGAAACGCACCTAGTTACCACTTACCAAGTCATCTAGAATGCGAATCAAAAGTTGTCTGTCATTATGGAGTAAGATAGTTCTTACAGATTTCTTAGAAATCCAGTACTTTTTAGGTAGACCACAGCTGGAATTTGCAAGCTTGGTAAATCCTTTTTTAGCCAGGACGTTACTGGTGCTTCCCAAATTGGAGATCGGGAATATACTAGTATGCATCTTCTAAATGTCTCTGTTTACCGTTAACTACCTTGTTTGTTGACTCATTCTCTACACATCGTTCCATTAATCATAGCGAGCTTACTTAGCATCATATATTCAAACAAAACCTATTTATTTAATCCTTCGTAATTGTGTTTTTAGAGGCCTGACGTCCTTCGTGGCCACGAGTTGAAAAGACCTAGTGTATGGAGACTAGGGTACATACCCGACTATTCTTCACACTATGAACGACCAATGGCCAATAAGTCATTGTAATCATTTTTACGAGAAAATTTAAGTAAGATCCTTCGTATTCCGGACTATTCGGGGCGATTAGCTTCTGTCCAATCGATCGGACAGCAAATGACATTAGCATCTGGTGAACAGGTGCATCATCAGCCTGCCTGTTTTCTTCAATCAGCTTCTAACAAGCCAGACTAACACAAGTGCGTTGCGACGGAAAGAATTCTCTTTGCAGCATCGTGTAGAACATGTGTTGGATGGAAAGTAGTTCAACATCTCTTGCGCAAGCGTATGCAGCCTAACAAGTGGGGACATGATGCAAAGATGAGACCGTTCGCCTCTAGGGACGAGTCAGGTTGGTGTGGTTCGCGAAACTGATGCTTACCACCAGCATCCACCGAAACCTTTGGTTGAAAAAAACTGATCGTAATGAACAGCATTCATTTGCGCACAGGTGCTGTTAGCTTCTTAGCAGTAGCAACATTTTCATTGGCTCAAGTTCAACAAAGAAAAGGAATGTTTTTTACGTATCTCGTTTGCAGCTATTTGTACTTCGCTTTGGGATCATCCGCCTACTTCTTCAACTCCAACACCCTTATTCTTGTTTCAGTTTAATCAGAAAATTTTCCACAGCTATCTACAAGATATATGAAACATACAATAGCTTCTTATAACGTGTTACTTTCCAACTGACTCAATGGTTTAGAGAAGGCCCCACAAAAAGACAAAAATATTAATGAATAACTTTGATGTGGTTATGCGAGGTCGGTCAAGGATTTGTTTTTTTCCTGTCTTAGGTTGTGGTCCCTCCTGGCTATCGCACTCGGGCCGAACTGGTCATCTCTGAAGATGAATATGACGGACGGTTCACCGTGGAAACCACTTTTGAGGGTTCAGTATCCATCCCACTTCGAGATAAACGCGACGGATCGTTAGTGTATCTACTTTCAATCAACGATCTTTCGCGAGTTCTCACACCAGAACATGGTTTTCGAACGTTGAAACACCCTCCTGGAGCTGTTGGATTCACAAATCAAGGTTGCTGTCACTGTCATTTTGGGATCAGTCAAGAAGTAGAGCTGCACCAAGAAAAGCTTTGAGGCGAGTCTTCAAACTACGCTGCATTTCAAAGTAACAATAACTCAGATAAATTTTCACTTACGTTGTCTGACAGTCATGACACATCCTCTGGCAAATCCTCTGTTAAGGCTGACTATTCAACAACAGTATCTTAGAGAGCCTGTTGAGAACCAAACAGAATAAACGCATACTGTTGTTTGTAAATGTTCTATCCACAACTAGAAGCAAAGTAGCAATTCATTTCCCACCATCTCGTTATTTCATTGTCAAATAAATTTCTGATACATTGCACGAAAGATTACATTTCTATGGCTTCCGTTTGATTTCAAGGAATCAGTCCACCATCTACGATGTCCCACTGTCTCAGCCTGTTCAAACCAAACGGATGTAACTGGCGTTGCAACAGACAAGACTTGCCTGGAGCAATATTCACAGCAGCACAAAGTGGATCGCGGATGCGTGTCAGGTTGGTTGGCTGAATTCAGAGCAGTCCAAGGACAATCTGATATTCATTGTCAGATACGATAAGAGAATACAGGAAAATGCAATCGATACAAAAGCAGAAAGAGCCAACTTGTCTAGGCAACGAATTAGCCACAAACAAAAGTAGATTTCCCGCATGACGTAAGGTGCATCACTACCCAGGCTGCCACTTTGTCAAGGTTTTCTGACGAAATCCAGACCTATACACTCATCTGCATACCAACCTGGCTTTGAAGTGAGACTCACCTGAAACCCACCTGAATCTCTCGTTTATGATGTTCTCCTTCTTATGAGTAGTATATCAAGTCCTCATTGAGTTATCGAATTTACTTAGCCATTCGGATTCTAGTCAACTGAATTCTGTTTCGTAGGAGATTTTCTTGTCTACGGAACTGATCCTTATGATCTTCACGTGGTTCTGAGGCATCTACAGGCAGCAGAAAAACAAGCACTGTTCGTCAATCGACTGATTTAGTCCTGAAAACATTCGCGTCAATTTGTATTTTTCGGGGATGAAGCTATCCAGGATCCATAAAGGAAACTACTCACAAGGTTGCTGAAAGCTCTTCGACAGCCCACGGCCGGTTTTGCCCTTTTTGGGGCTCGTCAGGTAGGCACAGTCCCCGAGTTTCCTTCAACCTTATGTTCTACTTGAAACCAAATTAGACTATTTTGGAGAACTACACTCCTTTGTAAATCAATTTGGTTTTCGCGAGGAATCAACTGAGTATCATTTCAACAGAATATTATAAGCGAGAGATTCAGTTGAGTCTATCATGAGAACCAAATCGATTTGCAAATGAGTGTAATTCTCTATATCCAGGATCCAATTCAGACAAATCAATGCCTGCATTTTTGTGGAACTATCCGCTGGTCAGCAGTTACCAGGCTTCCTTTTGTCAGTCACGACAACAGCCACCGCTTCCTTCAAATGGTTAAATGACGTTTTTAGCCATCTACAACCAGTTATATGATCCAATATTTACGACAAGTACCAAGTCTATGTATTCAGATATTCTGGTATCCAATGTGAAACGGAATTCTCTACCAGGCCTAACTAGTCAAACAGTGAATTTCACACTGGCATCTGAGAACAGTGAACGTGATCGAGTGCACTCTGATGCAAAAGGGAATTTCCCTGATTCGATCAGCTCAGACGAGTGGACCAAATTCGCACCCGAAACAAACTGTCGACGTTCAGGTGAAAAATGAGTTACTAATTCGAAGACGCTACGGGCTGGTCTCCGGAAAAATTTCTACAACTTTCACCTTTAGGATAGTGAAAATACCCATGAAATTCATGATGAAAACAGGGACAGCTTTCATCTTGGGAAAGACGATAACAATGCCTGTCTGTACAGATAATATTCGTCTCAATAATCTAAACCTATTGAGTCGTTTTAAAGACATGAAGAACTACGTGCACTTGAGAAGCAGGTAAAAAAATTGTCTCAGTGGGATCGGTCTTGTAAGTCATCAACGTAATGAGACACGCACCTGATAGACACAAACAAATGGACAGACTTCTTGCCTGAAACACCAGCCCACGGATGATAAGGTCGGTAGTAATATGGTCACTGAAATAATCGCAGGTTGCTTGTAACCTCCTGTGCTGAAGGAGGTTTCCTTGGAATCCCATGGTGTGGAGTGTGAGGTATTTCTTTAAACTCAAAGAACTGGATGGATAACGCCAGTATCGCATAATAAACCAGTGATTTATGCTGGTCTTCATTATCGTGCCATGCCAAGTAGCAGTTGGTAGAGGTCCTCTGTGTGCTTGCCAGCAGTTCGCATCTTATGCAGTCCTCAAGAACATGCAAATAGCACCGAATGCAGCCAGGCACGAACTGACTGTTTTACCAAATGTGCACGGGTAGCTCGACTGCTGTTCGCTGGCGAACTCGCTTCGGTCAACAGCCAACAATTTGGCCTCCAGTGTAGGTGTATTTCACTCGGCTTCCATGTTGTATCCAGCTGTGACAGTTTACGCCCAATAAATATGGCAACTCAAGCTATGATTACCCCCAATGTGCATAAAACTACCATTCAAACCTTGCGGAAAGTAATAACAGAATTTCGGGTAGGCCATTGGTTTCTTTGTCAAATACCGAGAAAGTACAGCAGGAGGGTCACCGTGTTCCGAAATGAATCACCAATTACACACGAATCTTGTCAGCACTCACCCCTCCGAACATTAACTGTAAAATGATTGACATACAAAACTGGGTAAACCAGCCGTGAAAGAAGCATAGATGCTGTTCTCTGTAGTATAGTGACCATACCATCGAATCACTGAAGGTATCTTTGAAGGATTACCACTGTTAAACTACATAGTAAGCTATGTTGGTGCCCATAAGTTAGAACGAAATAATATGAAAAAACCAAGGAGACCCTGTAACTTCGACCACGTCATTTCACGTCCCCTATTTTATCGTCCATTTTCAGACTGAACTTTGATCCCAAACTCAGATAAATTTTCTGGGGGTCAAAATTTTAGGTTATTTCTCAAATATTCGAACTTGTGCAAGTAAATTTATCACATGACCGTCTACCAAGGGTATATTCTAACGGCGCCAAATAGTAAACCGTGCCACAGCACGGATGAACGAAGCAAGCTTTTAGATCTAAGCCCACACAAAAAACAGACCGTTTTGAGAGTTTTACTTTGTAAGTATGTTGTATGGCCTCCCACCACTGCTTGACTGAGCCAAAACTGTGAACTGTTTTTAGTTCTACGTTGATTCGCTTGGTTCCAACAAACTCAAGCTGCACTCAACTGTACGCACAATTTGCGTTTTTGTCATAGACACCTACTGGGTTCCAGAACATATCCGCATCATGATTGATCATCAGACCGTTTCAGCACATTAAACACCATCCAATGCGAGGGGATAGTTCCAACGGGGAATTGGACGTGGAATATTTTTGTTACGGGTGGTTTCGCGATTCACGCGTTGAGGATACAGGAAAAGACGGACTCAAATGCCATAGATACTCAGGCGCGGTCCGTTTTTTGCGGTATCACCAAAGAAGGGAGATAACAGACAGGTGGCTATCTGTTAGAGACAAAACATTCTTTCGTTAGGAGGGGCAGTAGTTGTATCGCATGGATCTGAAAGGTCTCCTTAAGTTCCACTTAGGTTCGAATAGGCACTCCGGGAACAGAGATACATAGGTGCACGAAAATTAATCAACTGATTAATCCATTATTCATTTTACCATATGTAAACAACTGAAATATCTTTCTTCAAAAGAGGATCGATCTGCGAATACTATAGTTTGGTTTTAGGTACAATCCATGTCTTCAAATGCCATATACATTTAGGCAGGCATATAGGAATTACTTACCCAACGGCGCACTGATGATGTCTCATTGTATGGTGACGGAACGTTTGCAAGTCAATCGCCAGGCTTGGTAAATAGATCAACAGCTACCTGATAAATAGCTGAAACATATCTTTCCAGATGAGTGCGTTTTAAGCTCTTCGGCAAACTACACACCATTTTCGTACATTCTCCGGTAGTTCACCTAATTGACAGGGCATCACTCGCCACGGTCTCCGCATTTTGCGTGCGTTTACAATGTCCAAACTGCAATGTTCTTTATAATTTTTACTATGCATAAGAATTTCCTTAAATTTATTTGCCATAAGCCTCAATGATTATGCATAGTGATTAGCACAAAACTGACTCTTATCCACCAGCTAACCACTCACGAAAAACAGAGCTGGTTTACCAAGCTGTCATCTTCTGACCTCATCATTCGAAATGGGGTCGTAGAGACCATAGGTGTCATGATGCAATAATATGAGACATAAATCACCTGGTGAGGGTCTGTTTGGTCCAAAGGCATGGAGCTGATCGTTTTGTCCTGGAGTTTTTTATGCATTTAACTTCAGGCACTCGATGAACATTTAAAGCTTCATCTACGACGGCTTCTCTGTGAGGCAGTTGGAATAATTGTCGTGGTTAGCTTCAGAAATTCCATGCCAAAGTTATCAGTCGATTCCAAAAGTGGCATTTGTTTCTGACATCCCATTAAGACCACAGAAATGTAATTCTCTAGATATGTTACATTTCACCCTGCGGTTTTGGAGAACGGTTGCAATAAAAAGCCTACGTTGAAGCAAAGTTGTCAAAGCACCTTATAAACACAATTAGGGAACAGCAGGATGTTCTGACCTCTCCAAATATCCAGAAAAGATTCTGTTGATGATTTTGTAACAGACTAAACGCCCAAGCTTTATACTACCCGCTTCGCAAAATATACATCAAACAAAAGTAACCACATTTGAGTAACTTTTTTCGCTCCGGAAATCGAAACGAATTGTTACAGTTGTCCGAGATCTGTCAAGCCAGCTGGGTAGGCCGAACAAATCCGCTGAAAAACAAAGCGCACTTTCCGTTCGGTATTTTTGTGCACTGACAACCTGGCGGGGGGGCGATCGAACGTTTTCGAGATCACGTGTATCAATCAGAATACCACGAAAAAGCTGAAGTTTGATTTTTCAATCAATAGTGAAAATTAAGGATTAGCAGTTGCAAGGTTAAGTGAAACTAGACTGTGTGACTGTTGGAATTCCCCAGAACCAGAAAACGTGTTGCTACACGTGCTACCATATCTCAATAAGAATAAATTTACGTTCAACTGTAGCACCCTTTCGCTCCCTAGCTGCCATGCCACCCGAATGAAGCGCGAGGGATACTGACAGGCTGACCAAGTCTTAACAACAGAAGTCGCCCATCTCGCCAATCCATCCCATTTAATAACAACAATGAGAACTGGTAAAACGATGAGATTTTGGAATT